AGGCCAAATGCGGCCTGTCATTGTTAGTTTGTTCACATAAATTTCTTCATTTTGCAAGAAAATGACCTTCGATTTGTTACTTATTCACGGGAGGACTGAACCCGGGAACCTACTAAATCAGACATCTTCTTTCAAATTGAATATCATCCTAAGTAATTGAGGATCTTTTGTGCTCTTCCACTTTTTCTATATATTTTTTTGGAGCCGGTGCCATTTCGTGTGATATTTTTGCCTAATCATTTTTGGCCAGTGTGAAATCTCACCATTACATCTGGAACATTTTCTTGTCAGGCTTTGATCATTTTAGCAAATTAGATTGTGAATTACGGGCCCGACAATTCATTGTTAACCACTCTTTAAAATATACCTCTTTGCTAGATTTTTTTTCTTCTGATCATTACTATGCTCATACTAAATGAGAAATATGTACTTCATGTAACTGGTTTCTGAAAGTTAGACTGGAACTTTTCCTAGGTTTGCTCTAAAGTGGACCCGTCAAGGCTGTAGCAGGCAGAAAGTGGAAACGAAAGAGAATAAGAAAAGTACATCAGGACAGATTTTAGGGTATTTTTGCAATATTAATGCCTACTCTAAAAGAAAAAATAAAGGATAAGTGTATTTTTTTTAATTATTGAGTTCCTTTGAAGCTGAAATAATTAAATAAATTAAATAGACAGATCAAATGCATATGGAAGGGCTGTGTTATTGCTAAATAATTTGTATTTCTGTCCATCCAGTCCATCCATAGAATATTTACACAGATCTGCCATACAGCTAAGCCCTTTGTGGCAGCGGAAGAGATATGGTTTTTCTCTGCTGCAATTCAGCAACAGTCACTCTATAAAAGGAACAGATTAGATCTAGTCCTACTATAAGAAAATTCTTTATTAGTACATAAGTACTGCAGCACAACCGATTTGCTCCTTGTACTGCTTCTCCCGCTACCAGTCAGATTTATGTACTTGCATGTCTCTTGAATTAAAAAAAAATAATAATGATGTACAGCTGTGACCACACGTCACCCTTTCTCAACCCTAGGGTGCCTTCTGGGTTCCTTAGGGTTGCCTCCAAATTCTCACCAGAACCATGGAAGCAAATGACTAGTTCAGGAAGAGTGGGGTCCATTCAAAAAAGTTATCTGTCCAGGCCTTCTACAACCTCTGCCCTTTGCCATGCTGACACAGCTGTGGCCCCTGATAATAAAGGGGGGCTCTAATGTGAAGGGGGGTTTCTGATGTGAAAAGGAAGGCTCCTGAATGTAAAGGGGAGGCTTCTGATGTGAGGAGGGCTCCTTGTATGAAGGGGAGCTTCTGATGTACAAGGGGGAGGGCTCTGGTTTGAAGGGAGGGCTCCTGATTTGAAAAGGGGACTCTGATGTAATGGGAGAACCTCATCTTTCTATGTATTTTTGTGTGGGGGTCTCCCCTGAAAATCCATACCAGACACCTATCTGGGATATGGGTCTGCTACGGCTTTTGGAGGGACAACACGTTTTACATTCATGTGTTTTACGTTTTACACTGGGGTGCCTCAAGATATTGCATACTTTTTTAGGGTACCATGACTGAAAAAAGAAAGAGTTGAGAAACACTGTCATACGTTTACATACTCCTGACATAATTTGTAGGACTGAATTGCTATCATGGCAGTTCTAGTGCATTAATGTAGTAGTAAAAGGAAATCCTTCCAAAGTAAGGGAAATCTCTGTTGGCCACCAGCGTCACAACTAGTGTGCCCATTGGAAGACTTCCGATCTATTCCAGTTTTGATAATACAAAATGTGGGATCTTTCACTTTTAGTGATAATGGTCACCAGGACATAGAGAGGGTGAATCTCCCTAACAGGGATACAGACAGGAATATAAACCTGACAGGTGTTCTAACCCCTCTCCACTTTATCCAAAACGGGGAAAAAAAGTTGTGTCTTCAGCTGCACTTTAAACTTTGGGAAACTGAGATGTTACCTCTTCTGCTGAGAAGAAATAGGGAGCTTCAGACAGAATCTGGAAGAATACATCTGGAAACAAGATCACATATGACCACACTCTAAAACTGCTGTTTCCTCTCACTTTCTAAGTACACATTAATGTAAATTGCTCCCTAATATCCTTATTAGGTATGCACGGAGACTGGTGTTTCGGTATCGAGTACAAGTACCGATATTTATATTTCGGTACCTGGCGGCGGGTAATGACATGAATTCTCGATTGCCCAGGAAGTCGGCTCAATGCTGTTTCGCCGGCTAGATGCTGATTGGCTGGGAAGCCAGGTTCCCAGCAAATCAGCATGAAGCCGGCCACACAGCATGGAGCTGGCTTCCCGGCCAATCAGAAAGCCGGGAGGAGGGTCATTACCCACCGCTCGGATTCCCGATTGGCCGGAAAGCCGGCTCCATGTTCCCTCATGGCACTGGCGGTCAGAGTAAATCTCCCTTTCTGGAAGTTCTGGTATCGGGGGTAGGTATAGGAGCATTTGGGCGAGTACAGGTACTAGTATACTAGTACTGGTATCGGTGCATCCCTAATCCTTATATTATCCTTATAGGCCAAAGAGATGAGGAAGGTGACTGAATAATATTCTTTACTGCAGGAATGTAAAAGACATATCCAAGCAGAGCTGGAACTTCAACATGATCGGAGAAGTGAAGTAAACATAATCATTGGGGGAGCTTACTTTCTCTGGAGAGGTAGTTCACACAACACAAGGCTAACTTTCCAATGGGTACCAAGAACATGACGGAAATCATATGCAAGCAGAGGGCATGCCAAACCAAATGGTAACAAGCGTCCAAATTGCTTTAATGTTTATTGGTGAGATCACATAAAACAGCCAATGCATTTCATGGGCCAAACCATCCCCCATTCATCAAAGCTTAAAATCAAGCCAAAGCTTAAGTAGACTCAATAGTAAGCACTGCTAAACTGATCTGTGATAAGTTATATCTGGATGGATCAGAGAAGATCAGCGAGATGTACCAGCGTTAATGGCTAGTAATAATAATATTTACTGATTCAAATTTGAATTTTTATCCAGCTTGGCCCAATGTACTGTAAGTATGCAAATGCCATACCTGATCGACCGCTTGGAATCCTGTAAAGCACTGTAGCAACTGGACGCTTTCCTCCGAGTCCTGTTTGGCATTGGTAAGCTTCATATATTACATTTTCTTCTAAGGTTCAGGCAAACTTTGAAAGATCCCTCAATAAAAAAAGAGAACATTCTCACCTCTATATACAAATAATATAGTTGCCATGAAGTCTTTTTAGAATGAGCAAAGAAAAATATTTAATCTGTCAAACCAGGTTTTATTAAATATCAAGTTTCCACAAAGAAATTGCTGTATAATATTTATATTATAATGGAATAATATTAATAATTTATATTATAATATTTTTTAACTTGAAATTCCTGTATAAAATATATTGTAACAAATTAGATTATTGGTTATATTTTGGCATTACGATAACGATTTATGAACAAAGATAAATATACTAACATTACAATAAAATATACACAACATTCACAAACATGCAATCTTAAGGTTTAATAAGGTAAGCAGAGCTTCCAGGGTTAGAGTCACCCATCTAATATCCTATCCAATGAGATTCTATTCCACTTCTATCCTATCCAACCGCTCTTAACTGCTGAGGTGCTGTCTTTGAATACTGGAAAAGTGGGTGGGGCTTATACCTGGTGGAATGGCTTATTTGTTAAGGGTGGGAAGTCAAGGTCATAGTGGCCTAGAGCACATAGGACACTCCAGCTACACAAAGAGTTTTCAGCTTAATAAAGCTGATAGTAGGACCTTGTATTGACAATAAAACATTAGGATAACTGACAAATGTGGTTTAAAATCTACAGGGGGTGGGCTCAGACACTTTTGAGGTGTCATGGATTACACTGGATATTAGCTGCTCTTCCATTCAAGTGTTACTTTGATTTATTTAGCGTTTCAGCAACTAGTACGTTAATGTAGTAGTACTAAGTCATTTGTGTCCCACTGGGGAAATTTCGCTTCACTTCCTGTTTAATAGCCACAACAGGAAGTAAAAGGAAAACCCTCCAAAGTGAGGGAAGTTCCTGGTGGTCAGCAGGATCACCACAACTATTGTCCCCATTGGAACCATGCCAGTTGCAATCTCAGAGCCCCGTTTCACTAATGTAGGCAGAGTTTCCAGGGTTAGGGCCACCCATCTGGTTTAAAATGTACAGGGGGTGGGCTCAGACATTTCTGAGGTGTCATAGCTAAAACTACATATTACCTGCTCTTTTATTCAAGTGTTATTTTGTATTATTTAGCGGATCAGCAACTGTTTGTTTTAAAATTATCTCTGTTTTCCATCCAATTTAAATACATTTATAACAATTTCGGAATAATTGATATGGCAATTACCCAAGTATTAATACATACAGTGTATGTCTATATATATATAGAATATATATATATATATATTTATTTATTTATATATTTACATATGTTTTTAAACAGAATCTGTCACTTTGACCATTTAGGACAAATTAACAGAGTTTCTTTAGACCCCCTTCCTCATCCACTTATATACATCTTGCCTGTGCTTCCCCACTGAACCGTTGGATCAGCTGCAAAATACCTGGCACTAGTGGGTATGAGGGAGCATGTAACTTCCACGCATGATGCAGTGCACGAATCTGAGCAGCCAATCGCCAAGTTCAAATACTGTCACAAAGGTTAAACATGGTTAGGAGAGAGGAGAAACAGGTCGGTGGTGGAGGGCGGCGAAGGTGAGTATAAGTGGGTCAGGTGGGTTTAATTAGACCCTTCATCGGCAAAGGGATAGAGTCTTTTTAAAAAGATATGTGTAACATTATAAATAAAAATACTACATCTATACAAATACATGTAACTATATACAGGTTAATACATGGGTACTGCAAAGTCTGTTCAATATTTTACCAATTTTGTTTTTAAAAAAAAGCATAATGGTAACACTGATGGCGAAGTGTCTCTTGAACCTTCCAAGCTAATATTTGGGATTCATGTGCTGCACGGTGTATTCAGGTACGCCGTCCCCAGTCCGAAATCCATACGGCAACTTTGATCTGTCGTTCCTGCTGACGTCAACAGGCCCGTGAGTCCGTAGAACTCTCTTGAGTTGGTCGAAGATCTCGTGATCCGGCACGGCCATTGTGTTAATTTTAAAACCCATCATCCTGGTAATGGTTTCTCTGAAGTCGACAAGCTGTAGAATGGACAAAAGATCAATTTAAAACATTACACTATAATTTCCTAATATCTCTCTCCATGAGACGCCTGAGAAGAGTTGATTAAAATGAGCGAAGAGTGAGTCTCTTTTCTCTGACAACTTTGTAATTAGTTTGTTAAAAAAAAAAAAAAAATCTTCACAGGTACTCATACTACCTGTCTAAAACACCTCCTAATTACATTTTTAGGAGACATTAAAAAAAAACACAATTCTTGTTACAGTCGTTATGAAGACAAATTTTACACCCTTATTTTCCAAAAAAAAGACATCTCACAAGAAGTATGGGACAAAAACCTTTTCTATTTCCAGTTATTGTATAAAGTCTCTCAAAGTTCTCAAGTATCTGCAAGTTACAGCCCCAAAAAACTACTTAATGAGCTTTTTTTTTTTTTTTTTTAAAGTGTTGCTAAAAAGATACTAATGATTCCCTTTTAAAGCAAAGTGTACCTGTTTTTCTCTCCTCGCCACTTCCTCGAGGGCTCTTTTGGCTGTGAGCAGCTCATTAGTAATTGCATCTACCATCTGCTGACATCTTGCCTTTTCCCCAACAGATTCGTGTTCTGTGTAGTCCAGTTCTGATTTCAAGCTCACCACCTTTTTAGCAGCTTTCTCTTTAATTTTCTCTAGTTTTTCTAAAGACTTGCTCAGCAGCTCAATGGTTTTTTTCTGCTGGTTGGTTTTTTCCTTAAAAAAAGAAAAAAAAAGCAGGCTGCGATAGTATATGGTCCTATATCATATATTCTAAACATAATATTAGAATAAAGAACATAAATCTGAAACTGTTCATTCATAATAATGCAGGAACGTAAATGTCTAAATATATAAACTATAGTTAAATTATATGTAAAGCCAAACCTTTTTATTAATTGAGTAGTAATGGAACTCCTCTTTGGTTTTATTGCCATTTGTGCCCCCTTTAGGAAGCTTCATCCTATTCATCTCTGTGACCAAATCCAAAATTGTAGCGTTGTTAGAGGAACAGGAGGTTTGGGGAAACATTACATAGTTTCCCTCATTTTGGGAAAATGTTCTCTCACTTCCTATAGTGTCTTTGGGACATGAAGTGGAGGGAAATCTCCCCAAGAAGACTCACACAGCTAAAAAGTTTTGCTTGGAGATATACTAGCAAAGCTGTGCCCAAGACAAGGTTTTTTGGAGTTGTGACATGAGGGTGAGGAGGGAAGTATGGGGGTCAGGCATGGTGGTGACAGCAGGAAGACACACAGGCGCAGGAGGGGAGGGACAGGGGCAAAGTTGGAGGAGGAATGGATGTTCAAGTCTGGTGGTGAGGGAACAATTGCAGTAGTGAGATTGGGAGCAACGGGAGGGGGTGTGTAAGCGAAATGCTGAGAGCAAGTTAGAAGAATGAGGGGATTAGGCTTTCTGTTAAAAAAAATGAGGGGACTGACGTTTGGCAGGTTGGCGGTGGTGGGCCTATACCAAACACCCCTGCTCTCAGCACAAAGTGGTCAGAGGACGGTGTTTGTTCCCACACCATAATCACATTCTCAACACTGCTACCACATATGCTAGCAGAGTGGTAAGGGATAGTCCACTGGTCTGGTATACATATCAGCTAGGTAATATCAGGGGGGCACAGTTGAAGGGTCTGACCTCCTTCTTCAGCAGCAGGGGTGCCAGTCACTGACATTGATTGGGTATCCTTGAGAACACATGGTCAATGCTCACAGAAAATATAGGGACCGTGGCCTGCGCAGACGGGGTAGAGAAGCCACTATTGTGCACGCCACATATGCTGTGTTCACAAGCACTGGACAGGTTACATATTACTAAGTGCCTGATTTTGTTGTGCATGTAGTGGGAATGTGCAATGTACATTATCCCATGCATGTGTGAGTAAATGCAACCAATATATGCTATTCCCTGCAATGATATAAGCTGCTGAGAACTGTGCATGCATGGGTTAACTCCTCTATATTCATGACAGCGTTTTGATGCCACCTCCATTAGCAACTTTCTTTATTACCATTTTAATGTCAAATATTACATTTATATTCATGGGATATTAAGGTTTAGAGTTGTTGGTAGAGGTTGTTGGTTCAGTATTCTCTGAAAAGAACACCAGAATATGCCAGCACTATATATCTCTATGCTATTGTCAATGTAGTTTTAGCAAGAATTACCTTAAAACTTCTAACTAGTGACTTTTTTTTTTTACCTCTCACAGTAAAGCTGAGATAGCGGCGCTGCATAATTCTTCTCTAAACTTCCTAAAGTGGCGAGCTCACCTTTAGATCGTTCATATCGACAAGCTGAGCCGTCAGGTTCTGATTAGCAATTTTCATGTCACTGAGCTGTCCTTGGAGTCTCTCGACCTTCTTCTGCAATTTTTGGGCTGTCACGTTGGCTGAATTTTCAGTGCTCAGTAAGGCTTGATGCTCTTTTTCTCTCTCAAGCTGTTTGATCTTCTTCTCCAGTTGTTCAATCTGGGAAGATTTTAACTCTATTTTTTCTCTCTGGGAATTCACCTACAGGGATATAATGTGTTTAGCTGGATAGTGTACAGGAAAAAGTAAAACAAATAAAGACGAAGTGTTGGTATAGATTGGAGAGCCACATTCCTTTAATGATCATCATCGGGTTTTTTTTCATTTCAGTGGTATAAGCATGCTTGGCCTGACAGCCTGGCAACTCTGATATATACCGAAAGGGCTAGTGAATCTCAAGTAACATGTGTCAATGGCATCAGTTTGACATCAGTTTGAGCTCATTCTGAATTCATTGACAGGCGCATTTGACTTGCAATTGACTTTTTTCTGACCTGCTATTGTCCTGCTTCAAGACGGTTTTGCATACCCATAGACTTGTATAGCAAAAGTAAATCCTGCTTGAAGCGAATAAAAGTGCGTTGACACTGGCCTTTTTGTGTTTTTTTCAGCTTAAAAGTCACATTACTGAAAGTAGAATGCCAAGTGACATAAACTGATGGTATTCTACACCAAAAAAAGTAGAGATGTATATTAATTGAAGCCATCTGGTGAAGCCTTCCCCAATATCTGAAATATCATGTTATTGTCCTTGATCCCAGGATCCTATTGACAAATTTACACCATTCTTTCACTGCTGCAGGCACTATTGTCTCCAGGCATTGGCAAAAGGCAGACACCCCCCCCTCCCCCCCCCCCCCCCCCCCCATCACACTGAATGAACATGTGAAATGGACTCCATTCACCAGATGGAACTAATGATCTACTGGGAAACAAATGGGGGCTTTCCTTTGACTTGGTGGGTGCATTTTAGGTTCTCAGCTGATTTTTTTTTATCATCCCTCTAAGACTAACATCTCTGCCCATCATAACCCATCAATCCCGATGTCAGTACTTTGTTTGGGTGTTATGAAGCACTCTTCTCCTCTACCCCTGTTTTTGTTTTCCTTTAACATCTCTCTCTGTTATTCTTCCCTGCTCTCTGTATGCTTTCCTTTCTTAGTATAGCCATCTATTCTCTGACTTCAACTCAATATTAGTTCTACATTGACTCCTAGACACCTATAAAGGAATACAGGTGAAACTCGAAAAAATTAGAATATCGTGCAAAAGTTCATTTATTTCACTAATGCAACTTAAAAGGTGAAACTAATATATGTGATAGACTCATTACATGCAAAGCAAGATAGTGATTTGTCATAATTGTGATGATTATGGCTTACAGCTCATGAAAACCCAGATCCACAATCTCAGAATTTTTTTGGCAGTGTGGGCAGGTGCCAAGTCCTGCTGGAAAATGAAGTCAGCATCCCCATAGAGCTCGTCTGCGGAAGAAAGCATGAAGTGTTCCAAAATCTCCTGGTAGACGGCTAAGTTGCATTAGTGAAATAAATTAACTTTTGCACGATATTCTAATTTTTCGAGTTTCACCTGTAAATCCCTTATCATAGACCATGCCTTTAGGTGGATATTCTCAAAGATAAGTTAGTGCTCCACAATAATAAAACTTAACAGAAGGTCTAAATGCTAAACCAAATTTGAAAACACCAACAAAGTTACAAAGCACTAACAGATTTTGATCACCCATATATTTATGGCCACTAAACAAACTCTTGCAAGGCCCTGGAGGTCCTCTACCCTTAAAGTGACATTAAAGTCAAAAAATGTTTTCCCTCCCCCCAATGTTAATGTTAGCACTTACCTTAAATGATGTCTCTTAATCCGATCTTCCTCTTCTTTCCTGTCCTTTTCAGCCTTCTCTCCAGCGCTGCTGCGGGTCTGCAATCCAGTGCTGACTCCTCTGTCCTTGCTGGCACTTCCTGTCCCACGGTGTGTGACCGCGTCCATAGGCTTACCTTGTGTCTCTCCTCGTCTCTAGGCTGAAAATCCAAACTGTGCATGCGCCCGCCCCAAGATGCTTTGCATTTTCGGATTTTCGGACGAGAGCGCGTGGTGAAGACAGGGGTACGTTTAAACCGCTTTTAAAGCAAGCAGTAGATATATGCAGAAAAACGTGAGGGTTTAGAAACCCTTTAATAGGATTACGTCAGCAATTTTAGCAGATTCTCATAAGAAAATCTTGAAGATTTGGAGATTTTGATCCTGCATCAGCATCCTCCTAAAAATACCTAATTATTCTCCAGGGTGAACCCCACTCGACCTCTTTTTATCTGGTTTGCTTTATATCTTGCTTTTAATCTTGTCTCGATATGCCTTCTCTGTATCTTTCTTTCTTGTTCTTTCCCTCTTTACCTTTCCTTTTTTCCCCCCATTTCTCCCTCCTTCCTCCCCTGCTTGTTTGCCCTCCCTACCCTAGAACCATTTTTTAAAAGTTGTTTTTGAACCTGATCTTTTGGGGTTTCCTACCCAAACACTGGGTTCTTGTTTACTGCAGGTTGGTGGGCAAATATCCTCTGGGACCAATCCTGTGCCATGGCCCCAGCAGTTGACTGGTATATAATATATAGGTGCCAGCAGGTCTCTGTGGGTAGCTGGTCACAATGCCGACCTCGCCTACCTTCTAAAATGTATTGGTTATGGAATTTTTGTTACTGGACCGCTAACGGCTGCTTTGTCAGCTAGTTTAACCTTCAACCTGCTGCCAACGAGCCAAGGAGCTTCCAGGCATTCTGGCATTGAGTGGAGTGTGACTCTGCTGCAGTGTGGGACAACCAATGAGGAGTGTGTATGCAATCCACCAGCCAATCACTGGGGCTTTGACAGCCAGTGTTGCCATCTGGGACAGGGCATATTTACTCAAGGGAATTGCTATGTGTTAGTTCTGGTTGGGGTGCTGTCCAGCTTGACCCCAGGCTAGGCCTGAGGCCTGGGGAAGGGGGGGTGGGAACACTTGAGTGCGGGAAGTGTTTCGCTAGGTCTCAAGTCTAAAGGAGGCCTCTGTTATTGTTGCAGGAGGAGAACCAGGGAAGCTGATGGCTGCTGGAGGTTTCTGAAATGGACTGGAACTCAGGAGCAAGTCTGGTGTCTCTCCTATGGAAGATTTTATGCCAATCCCCTGCTCATCTGTCGCCCAATCCAGCTGGGGTTACTATTGAATCTACAATCTACACTGAATTACTAAAAGGGACTGGTGAGTCTGGAGTCTGTACTACCCAGGATGTCTAGGATTCCTCTACCCTCCCTCCCAGAGTGAATATGTTAATCAAGTTATTCATCATCATACTTCTGGCCTGGATATCAGCTCTGTGGGCACTAGAAGAGGGCGGTTAATGCTAATGGGGCAGCTAGTTACCAAAATCCCTAGACAGGCTATGGCTGACCCGGATTATTCTGGCGGCTCTTTCAGGGGTGAGCGCTACAAGAAACAACAAAAAGGGAATAAACATAATCCGAGTTACCAGAAGGATGCATATCCTGTCTGTATTCTATTAGAGGCAAACCTTTTTTTTTTTTTACTTTGGGTAGAGTGGGGATGAAGTTTTGAACCAGGTGATTATTCATGTTTGTGTCCAAACTGAGAATTCTCTTCACTTCCTGTTTTGTCTGACACCCTTTACATTGGCAGGAAGTGAGCAGAATCTTCATCAGAGGGCAGGAATAAAACCCTGACAGATTCTAACCCTTCCTCACCCTACCAGAAACATTTTTATTGCTGACTGAGCTGGAGTTGGATAGATTTCTCATCACTTCTTGTTTTGTCTGACACATATCAAATAGATGGGAAGTGAGGAGTCATTTTCTGAACAGAGTAAAGTCCATAAACCCATGATAATGAGGGTGGGTGCTGCGGCTGTCGACGGTTGGCAATCGTGGTCAATGTCACGCAAAATATATAGACACCATCACCTCAACAGCAAGTCAAATACATCTGTTTATTGAGGTATGAGCAGCATAACGTGATACACTCAATGCAACATTCCGGGGTCTCACTGGATCCACTTCATCAGGCAGAACAAGTGAACTACACACATTGAGTGTATCATGTTATGCTGCTCATACGTCAATAAACAGACGTAGTTGACTTGCTATTGGAGTAACTGTGTATATATATTTTGGGTAGAGGTGAACTTTACATATTTCTACATACACCAACTGGTAATGTACTCTTGCAGACTTTTTAAAGGATCCTGCTTATTCTTCATTTGACCAAACAGAAACAGTATTCTCTTTAACAGGGGTAGGCTAACTCCAGCCCTCCAGCTGTGGTGCAACTACAAATCTTATTAGGCACTGCAAGACTGACAGCCACATGCAAGACTGACAGAGGCAGATGCATGATGGAATTTGTGGTTTCACCACAGCCTGATGGCTGGAGTTTGCTTACCCCTGTTCTATAGCATGGGTTCCACTCACCACAATCTCCTTGCAGGAGCTGATTTTGAAAACAATTGGGTACCTTTTTTTGAAGGTTATAAAGGAGAGTTTTATTGTCACTCAGAAATTCTTTATCCCTCTTAGAAATATCTTCTGCCCTCTTCAGCAGCATGTCGTACTGGGAAATCAGACTCTCGCAAGATATATCTTGGCTGATATTAAACTTCTCTGCCATCTGCAGTAAGAACTTCTTGAGCTATAAAACGCAAATGGCAAATGTACAAATGTTAGGATAATAGCACATTTAAGAGCAGCCAAGTAGAACATTTAGAATATAATATAAGTCTTTTTTTTAAAGTCTACACACCAAATGCACCATTCAAAAGAGCTGAAATATTACCCTGAGCCATTTTGGTATACATATTATTACGTAAAGTGTTCATTATCTATATGCACGGAAGGAGAGAGCCAATTCTCTATCTACACCTCCTCTCTTGGTCAGTTAATAACCTCACATGGCTTACAATACCATCTCTATGCCGATGACACTCAAATCTATCTCTCTACTCCGCAACTCTCCCCCTCAGTGTCCTTGCGTGTCACTAATCTACTAACCGACATATCTGTCTGGATGTCGCAACACTTCTTAAAACTCAACCTTTCAAAAACTGAGCTCACGATATTTCCTCCCACCTGTGCACCTTCCCCCAACTTTTCCCTTGAGATTGTTAACACAACTATCCAACCCTCCCCCCATACCAAGGTCCTAGGTGTCATCCTTGACTCGGACCTCACCTTTCTTCCCCACATCCAATCACTATCCAAATCCTGCCACCTTCACCTTCGTAACATCTCCAAAATACACCCCTTCCTCACCAATGAAACCGCAAAGTTACTCATCCACTCCCTTGTTATCTCTCGTTTTGACTATTGCAACTCCCTCCTCATTGGCCTTCCACTACACAGGATATCCCCCCTTCAGTCTATCATGAACGCAGCTGCTAGACTCATTCACCTAACCAACCGCTCAGTGTCTGCAACCCCCCTCTGCCAATCCCTGCACTGGCTTCCTATAGCCCAAAGGATAAAATTCAAAATATTAACAACCGCGTACAAAGCCATCCACAACTCTGGCCTCGGCTATATCTCCAACCTGGTCTCAAAGTATTACCCTAACCGTCCCCTCTTCACAAGACCTCCTGCTTTCCAGCTCCCTCATCAACTCCTCCCATGCTCGCCTCCAGGACTTCACTAGAGTGTCTCCTATCCTATGGAACTCTCTACCCCAACCTGTCCGTCTATCTCCCACACTGACTGCCTTTAGGCGATCCCTTAAGACTCATCCCTTCAGGGAAGCCTATCACACCTCAACCTAACTACTAAACCATCACTTTCTCAAACAATTCATCCCCACACACAGCTCCCTCCTCATGTATCACTTCCCACTCCCTTTTAGATTGTAAGCCCTCATGGGCAGGGCCCTCCTTACCATCTTGTCTTGAATTTGTATTGTGATTGTAATGTTTTCCTTATATTGTAAAGCGCTGTGCAAACTATTGGCACTACATAAATCCTGTATAATAATAATAATAATTGAGCTAAGCCAATTGTTCATGAGTACATCTCATCACTAGGTTGGGGATTGGTGGTTTCATTGTGAACTTCAAAATTAATTTTAAAATTAAGTAAAAAATCTTAAAAACAGAACTTGGTTGAGACTTCGCTCTCTGTTTCATCTTCTCCACACAGCAGAGACATAGTGGCTAACTACTGAAATCTGTTTAAGAGGTTATGAAGTGTGGATTGCTACATTATGGTATCAGATCCCAAAAGGTACATACACTGTAGTTACATTGCACAGAACCTCTCTTGTTAATGGGAGACATGGGGAAAAAAATGAAGCAATATGATTATCTTTCAACACGCTCATGTGACATGTGTTATTATTTAACATATTTAACCTCCTTAGTGTTAACCCAAATGTTACTCTGGCTCAGAATTCTATGTAAAAACCGTTAATCCCAAGCATTACGCCAGCTACAATTGTTACAAAATATTCTGAGCCCAAATAACGCTTGGGATAAACGTTATGGAGGCGGCATTTCAAGACGGCAAGCGGAGGGAGGATTAACCAACTTTGGGATTCTCCTATTTTGTTGTGAAGCTGGAAGTAAAGAGGACCCTCGCCTGCAGTGTCATGGAATTTTTACTCCGGCGTTTCAGCTTGCGAGACCTCGCATAGCTGAGCATGCCAAAATGAAAAATGTCACCTTCGGCCAATCAGCTCGCACGTACAAACCTGCATATCGCAATGCAAAGTCCATTCGATTGTAACGCGCGAGCCACCTGGCTGAAGAAGCATTTTTTCATCTGGCCACGCTCAGCTCACACACTGCATGCAAACGTCCGTGCCTCGCAGTTTTGCTTTGCTCCGCATGGCTTCGCATGCAGTGTGTCACGGGCTTTAGGGTTGAATTGCATGAATAAATGAGCAAATTGTGAATAAATGCAAATCTACTCTGTGCAAGTCTTTGTAAAGCTGAGTGGATTAGTCTTTAACATATGAGACACAAAATGATATGAAAATGATTATATATATAT